TGCCTGGCATATAGCGGACACTTAATAAATATTAGTTGACTAATTTTTTTTAAAAAAAATCATCAGTAGATATATGCAGTTTACCTGCCCTTCTTCCCTCTGTGTTTCTTGATTTTATTTTTACTAGTAGAATTTTTTTTTGTGTCCTTTGCTCAACTAATGTAAGAGTGTGGTGTGGATGTGCGTGATCTGTTCCTACTCCCCTTTTCCACATCCCTCTCTCCTCTTTGTTGAATGACCATTTTGATTTCAGTATATATTAAGTCATTTCATCTGCCTATCCTTGCTTTCCTTTCTCTAGCCTTCTGTCTGGTCAGTTTTCATGAGGTGGAACTGTTAAGGGACAACAGAATTGTCCCATCCTTCCAGGATGTAAACGGTGATTCAGCACTTAATTTTTCTTGCTAAGTCTAATCAAGAAGCATTTATTTTGCACCTGCTTTGCGGCAGGCCCTGTATTAAGTCTTGGAAATATAAAGAAAGGAAAAAAACTATCCCTGCCCTTTAGGAACTCTCAGTCTAATGAGGGAGAACACATACAAACGACTATGTTCAAACAAGATATATACAGGATCAGTTGGAGATAATCACAGTAAGGCACTCGAATTAAGAAGGGGCCTAGAACGATTTCATACATAAGGCAAGATTTTAGCAGAGACCTGAAGAAAGCTAGAGAAGCTAGAAATGAAGAAGGTTAAGAATTCCAGATTATGTGGGGTAGCCCTTTGACAATACATTAAGTAAGGAGATCGTCTTTTTTGAGGAATAGTAGCAAGGAGGCCAGTGTCACTGGATCATAGAGTATATGGAGGGGAGTAGGCTATAAGAAAACTAGAAAGGTAGAGAAGGGTCAGGTTGTGAAGAGCTTTAAAAGCCAAAAATTGGATCTTCTGTTTAATCCTGAAGGTAATAAGAAGCCACTGGAGTTTATTGAATTAGGGGAGAGGGCAGAAGGAAGGGTTGATATCATCAGACCTGCTCTTTAGGAAGATCACTTTGCAAGTGATCTTCAGAGACTGAAGGCTGAGAGACAAACCAGAACTTATTTCAGTAGGCTAGGCATGAGGTATAGGCCTGCACCAGAGTGGCAGTGACAGAGGAGAGAAGGAGGCATATAGGAGAAATGTTAAGAGGGTAAAATTGACAGAACTTGGCAACAGATTGGGTGTGGAAGGTGAGAGATAAGTTGAAGATGATGACTAGCCTGGGTACCTGAAAGGATGGATGATCGTGTCTTCCACAGTCATTTCCCCAAAACGACGATGAGTCTTAATTTTGGACTTGTTGAGTTTAAGAAGTCCATAGGACACCCCGCTTGAGAGGTCTAATAGGCAGTCGGAGATGTGAGACTGGTGGTCAGGAGAGGTTGGGGCTGGATAAGTAGATCTGAGAATCATCTCTTTGGAGGTGATATTTGAACCCATGGGAGTTGATAAGATCACCAAGTGAAATAGTATTGAGGGAGAAGAGAAGAGGGCCCAGGAAAGAACCTAGTTCTTTCTAACCCATGGTTAGTGGGTCTGACCTAGATGAAGATGCATCAAAGGAGACTGAGGAGTAGTCAGAGAGAATAATTTCCCAAAAATCTAGAGAGAAAGGAATATTCCAGGAGAAGAGGGTGAAGAAAAATGTCTTAGGTTGCAGAGGAGTCATGAAGGATGAGAATTGAGAAAACACCATGAGTTTTGTTAATTAGGAGATTATTGGTGATGAGTGAAACAATGTGAACAATGTGAGATCTCTCAGAGGGATTGAGTGAAACAATTTTCAGACTGTTGCAAACTCGAGGTTGGTTACACTAACCTGAATAGGCCTGAGTTTCAGGTTCCTAGAAATCACATGATCTGTATTGGCACATCAGCATTAGGTAATGGCTAGTTGCTAAATAAGAGCAAAATAGCTAGGATTGGTGGCATTATATATATATTGTTTCTTGTTTCTCGGGTAGATTTTCGCGTTTTAGATTGTAAGGCTGAAATTCCTGTCCAATGGGAATTCAAAGCCAGTGGTGGGTGGGAATTTTCACGTTAGAACTATATGACCTTTGTTCTGGCTTTTGGGCTTTGCCTCACTTCATTAGGACTGCCTAATGGAGTAGACGCCCACTTCTCATGAGAAGGTAATAAACTTTCACTTTATACCTAGAGAAATCTCTGAGTATCATTTTGGGGAGGGTCGTATGCCCATACCACACAATAACTTTGGAGAGAGCAATTCCAATCGATTTATGACTGCCAGATTGCAGAGTTAAGAAAAGAATCAGAGTCAATAAACATTAAGTGCCTAGTATGTGCCAGGCACTGTGCTAGGTGCTAGGGATACAAAGAAAGTCATAAGACAGTCCCTGCCCTCAAGGAGCTCCTAGTCTAATGGGAGAAGACAACACATAAAAAGAAGATGAAAAGCTGGATGAGGGAAGAGGGGCAGAAGTTACCTGGCAGAGTAGAATGATGAAGTCATGGATCTGGAATGGGAAATGAACTGAGGAGATGTGAGTTTCCAGATTGATTTCATCTTACAGAATGATGAGTTTCTGGAGATGATGAAGTCCAGGAAAGTAGTAGCCAGGTGGGAATGAAGAGAATTCCCTGGGTATCATCCGTCAGTGGTGGAGTATCTGAGAGGAGAGCTCTAATGTCCTTCCTTCACCCTCTGCAGTCAGGTGGTGGAGAAAGAGAGGAAAGGAAGTAGAGCCACGGAGTATAAATGGTCTTCATAAGGAGTTTGTCACAAAATGGAGAGATATAGGGCAATAGCTAGCAAGGATGGCTGAATTAAGTGAGAGTTTTTTCATAGTGGTGGAGACGTGGGCAATTTTGTAGACAGTAGAGAAGCAGCTAGTAAACAGGAAAAAATTGAAGATTAATGAGAAAGGAAGCGTTGGAAGAGACAATTTGCTACAGAAGGAGTGTGTGTGTGTGTGTGTGTGTGTGTGTAAAGGTGTCATAACTTTTCACAGGCATGAAAGAGGAGATAATGTGGGAAGACCCCTGATTAATGTAAGAAGAGGATGGGGAATAAAAAGGGAGCTCTCAGCAAATGGCCTCAATTTTTTCAGTGAAATATGAAGCAAAATTTTCATGCCCTATGGATTCCTTTTTAACCTCTATTCAGTTTTTTTTTTCACTTATTTTGTGTTTCAGAGAGTCCTCTGACTTTCTCAGGAGAAATGAAAGCAAGCCATTAATTTTATTTAAAAGTCCACCTTTCTTCACATAATATATTCTTTGCCAAATTAATTCTTCTTAGGTATGTGCTACCATCCCCTTCCTCCCCCCCGCTTTTTGGGAGGTATATTACTCTAACTTTTCTTTAGTTGTCTAATTATTGATGAATAGACCTGGCTATTTCAAATTGGCAGTATTTTTATTTGTTGTATCCTCTAGATAATTTGCTAGTCTTATTCACCCCCAAAATTTTAGAGCCTAAGCATCCATATTCTGGGTGAGTTAAACTTAGGAATTTTGTTGCACTATGCTTTTCCCAGGAATTCCAATACTTCTGGGCAATTTTCTTGTATATCTACCTGAAATATAATATTCAGAATTTTAGTTTTATAATTTTTTTGGGAAGGCCAGTAATTCTCAAATTCTCTCACTCTGGGGCAGCTAGGTGGTGCAGTGGATAGAGCACTTGCCCTGAAGTCAGGAGGACCTGAGTTCAAATCCGGACTCAGACCAAAAATTTGATACTTACTAGCCGTGTGACCCTGGGCAAGTCACTTAACCACAATTGCCTAAAACAAAAACAAAAAACAGATTCTCTCACTCTATTTTCAAGCTCAGTTTCTTTGGTTTGTAGAAATCTCAAGCATTCTTTCCAATTGTTGTTTTTCCATTATTCTAATTTATATTTGCATTTTTGTTCTATCAGCCATTTTTTTTATCATAGTGCACTCTGCTTCATTAAGATTTTCCATCTTCTCTACTGTCAGTGCATATTAAATGCTATATTATTATAACTCATCTATATAGTCTTATGGTTTACAAAACATTTCATATGCATTATCTCATTTTAATGCTCACTATTGCCTCTTAATGTATATAGCCTTAGCAAAATTATTATCATTGTAGAAATGAGGAAACTGAGGCCCACAGAAATGAAGCAGTTTACCAGTTAACAGGAAGTAGTGGAGCCAGGATTCAAACCCATATGGTCTGTTTCAAATCCAGTGGTCTTTCTGCTATATCTGATATGATAGACTCATAGTCCAATACTAGGCCTATTCTCAAAGTTCTTCCAGGTTGGCAGGACCAGCCAGAGCTTTTGGGTCACTGCATAACCTTTGAAAAATTAAGATCCTCATTATACCATGATGAACCATAGGAGAATTTTAGTGCCTGCTCAAGAATTTAATGAAACAGCCAAGTAGTATGATACATGTCCTTTGGCCTTCAGCAAACTTACAAGATAATAACTTCTAATGGCTTCCTATTGCCTTCAAGATAAAAGTCCAATTTATTGCTTCCTAATAGGAGCTCTTCATGCCAGTCAGGAAAGTTTCCTGAACATCACATGTACATTGCCCCATTCTAAGACAACTTCCATGCAGTTCTTACCTGAAATGCCCTTCCTTCTCCCCTCTTTGTATCTAGATCCTACTTATTCTTCAAGACCCAACTCAAGTCCCACCATCCACAAAACCTTTTCTGACCTTTGAAGAATTGTAATAGGGAAGAAAGAGTCATCTTATTCTATCTGCTTAGCTCTGCAGAACCACTAGCAACTGAGTGGAGCCTACTGCTTCAGGAGGTAGAAGAGTTCCTCATTCCCGGGAGTCTTCAAGCTGAATTTGGAAGGGCATTGTTCAGGAATATTTTAGAGGCAATTCCTGCTCAGACACAGATTCAACCTTTGAGATTTGTTTCATCTCTGAGATTTTATGATTCTGTAATTAAACTTTCTTATCCTAGTCTATTATAATTGCTTTTGATGATATTACTATAGAATTTTAACTTCCCTGAGCACCAGAAATAAAATCGACTTTACTGTCTTTACAGAGATTTCATGGAGACAGATTTAAGAAAAATTACTCTGGAGAATACAAAGAATGCATCAGTCAAGTGACCTTTCGTGCAATTGGAAACTGAGTATGTCAATGATAGATAACATCTTTTTCATTTGTTTCTGGATCTATATAGTAATTAACTTTACACTTGATGTCAGTTCCATGTGCAGTTATACTCCAAAGAGGATTGTTTGCATTTTCTAGACATTTGATAATATTTTGTGGAAATTATCCACTACTAAAGGTATACACTTTCGTGTGTTGCATTTCACTTGGTTGTCATCTTTTTTTAGCTGTCTCGTATGACCTGTTTAACAGACTTGCAGTTAATAAATATTAGAATTATTTTTATATTTGTTACAAAACAGAACTGTTTTACTTTCATAATTTTAGGAGTTTTGGTGATTTCCATTTCTCCCTTGCCTGTTAGCATAAGTATGAATTTATTGATCTAAGGTCCTATGAGCAGGTTACCATCCCAAATGATGTTTTAGATAATTGAAAATGACACTGTATTGAAAATTTAACTTCTTTCTTAAATATGACAGTGTTATTAAGCATAGGACCTTTGGTGGGATATATTTCTTCAGCTCAATAGTAAACACATCCTGTGTGCAATTTTTATTTGATATTAAGTTTAACCATAAAAAGTTTTTTTTTTTTTTGCAATAATAATTTTTATTATAAACTTGTCAACTTAATATACCCAAATTTTGGATACACAAAGCTATAAAATATTGTATGTGAAATTATTGATTTCCACAATTTATATATTTAACAAAGTCATAATGATTATCTTTAACAAAGTAATATTGAACTCATCCTGTTTGTTCTTCTGCCCTCCCCCCACTAATTTACTATGTAATTTCTAGATTTTGTCTAGTGTTATTATTGTTTAGACTCCTAACATGAAAGTCCCTGAGATAGTAGAAATAACACTAAAGAAAATAAAAGAAAGGAGCTGAATCAAACCAAAAGTAGATGTCCGTGCTGGAGGCAAAGAAGTTTCAAGCTCATTGAGAAATTTTAAGATTTTTCAAAAAAATCAGAGATATTATTACTAGAAAAAGGTGACTGCGAGGACATCAATAACTACGGACCCATATGCCAACTTCTCATCTTAACTAAATCTTTGTGAGAAAAATTTTATTAATATATCTAAGGGTATCCTTGATGAAAATAAGAAAAGAAAACAAGCAGGCTTTTAACAAATGACATTCTATAAGAAACCACATCTTTATAGTCACAATTGATTAAAAGGTACAGAGAATACAAGATTCAACTGTTTGTTGTTGGTTGACTATTAAAAAAGCATTTAATTCAATGGAGAAAAATGTATCCTCAAGGATGCTTTGTCTTTTTTCTTTTCTTTCTCTTTTGCCCCCCTCTTTCATCCATTCTAGAAGTATAGTGACCATTCATGGTCTGATCCCAATATTGATTGGCATGGAAGTTTTTACCTGCTCTGTTTTTCTGATCATGGCTAGTTTGCCCTTCCTAAGGCATCCTGGTGCCCCTCTACACCTGGGGTCTCACCATGTTAGTGCCAGATTTAGTGTGGTCACCTAATCAACTTTAGCCCTACTGCAGTTCAGAACTCCCAAATTAAAGAAATCCTCTCATCTCAGCCTCCCCCAGCAACAAGGACTACACTATGCCTGACTAAGGGTGCTTTTTCTCCATAGTTTCTCCCATACCCATGTTAAGATTATATACGGTTCCTTGATAGATGCTGTAGCAAAAATTTTGCTTGTCAGCCTTTTGCTTATTAATAGCAAATGAAGAATGAAACTGGACAGCATGATTGGCAGTGTTGTTTGTCACTGTCGTGGAGGATATCTGGAACATAACCCAAATTGAAGAGGTATTCCCCATAGATGATGAGGTCCTTTGGATTTTTCTGTTTACAATATGCAATATTACAGAACCTCCTAAATGGGATCCCAAAATCCTTCAAAAGCATTTGTTCATACAGACACACACACACACACACACACACACACACACACACACACACACACCCCATACCACACCACACCAAAAAAAAAAATAATACTTTTTGTCCAGGTATTGATGGGCATTTGGATAGACAACCATGGAGGAAGTGCATCGGTCCATATTGAATATTTTGAATAGACGTTGCAGATAAATACTGAACTGAGCCATCATTTTATAGGCATAAAAGAGCAGATTGGATTGTATCTGTGGAATTAGTGCTCTCAGTGACCCCAAATTTTTATTCTTGAAAGTGAAGTCTATCTTTTTAATATAAATATACTCCTGATTTTGCTACATGGCTATGAATCAGAGCATAACAAAATCACTGAAAGAATCATTATTTATTTACTTATCTATATATGTAGTTTCTCCAGATAGAATGTAAGCTCCTTGAAGTCAGAGAACATTTTCCTTTTTTGTTTTTGTATCCCTTAGTATTTAGCACAGTCCCTGGCACATAGTAGATGCTTGATAAATGCTTGCTGAATCAAGATTCCAGATCACCCAAAGGTCATTGAGGAAGTGCATAGTAAGCAAAAATAGATGGCAGCATATCTCCAACAATGAATTGTGCTCACAGTCCATAAAACATCTTATTAAAGGGATATGTCACTAAAATAGGAGGTGGGCAGAGTGGTAATTTAACAAGTGAAGGAAAATACTTGGGGACCATCCACATGCTATTTATTGTCCCTGTAATGTCAAGACACTTAGCACCCCAGCACATTAGATAGACTCGTCATAGAGGACTTACAGAAAGATATGGTTAAGTGTAACATAGGATAAAATATCATGGATGAGTTGTGCTTTACATCACTGGAGGAATCATCTACAGATCCATCAAAAGCATTACAATGGTTACCCATGTAATTGTAATCACTATAGGTATTTTGATTCTACTTTTTCCATTCTGTATTATTTCATACATTTTTCCATATTTTTTATCATAAACTGTCATCAACAAACACACACATTACCACGTACAGGGAGGAACAAAAGAGAATTGTATGTGAATCCATGAATTTGTTACATATGATTTGTTGAGTATTTATTAAATTCATCACAGAAATTACAAAATTGCCTTGTTAACTCTACTTAACTTATTTTTTTCTGTATATAATTTTTGTTCTATTGATGACCTTTTTTTTTAACCTATGTCACTTCCCACTTCCCCCCCCCGAACAGAAGTCCTCTCTTACAACAAATAAGAATAATCAAGCAAAATAAATAAACATGTTGGTCATGTCCAAAGATGTTTGTATTTCTTTATAGTCTTAATATTTTTCATTTCTTATTATAACATTCTGTTACCTTAATATACCAAAACTTATTCAACCATTCCCTGATCATTCAATATTTAAGTTATTTCTAGTTTTTTGCCACAATATTTTTGTACAAATGAATCTCTTAAAAATTTATCAAGGAAATCCTTATGATCTCAATAATTGTATCACTAGTTCAATAGATATGAATAACTGTAACTTTTATCATCTAATGCCATATTACTTTATAAAGGGATAGTTACCAATTCATAGCTTCATCAGACTTGTATGCCTATTTTTTTTAGCCCCAATAGCATTGAATTTTATTATTTTTAACTATTATTGCAAATTTAATGGATAGAAGATAGATCGGTTATTTGTACTCTCAGTTCTCTGATTTGTAAATGGTTTTAACAGTGTCTTAGGAGGTTAATTATAATTAATATCTTATCTTTTGAAAGTTCTTTTTGACAGGTTTTGTATATTTATATTTAGGGGATAAATTTTATATTTATAAATCTGTATCAGTGCCTCCATAGATCATGGATATCAAACATCTACTAAAAGTGTTTATCAAAAAGACTTCTTACCTAATCTGTGTTTTGTTTCCTTTTTTATCCTTGATGGATTGCTTTTTATTGTACAAAAGCTCAACATTTTTACACAGTAAGATTTATGTACTTGTGTTAGTTCTCAAGATACCTCAGAGAGGAGAGGATATTAAATGATGGGAGAAAACTGTGGACATATTGCTGTCAAAAAAAGGTGATTGGGAGAACAAGAATGATACCAAGTCATATGCCTACTTTTCATCTCTATAAAATCTTTATAATAATTATCTATGGCTTTCCTGACTCCACGCTGAGAGAGAGGGAGAGAGAGAGAGAGAGAAACAAGGGAGAGGGTTACCAAACAACAACAACAAAAAAAGTTACAGAGAAAAGAGGACAGAAAGAATGTCAGGAGGAATCACATGCAGGACAGTTTTGAAGGTTATATTCTAAACTTATTACATACTTAAAAATGAATGGAAGTTCTACATAGTAGACGTATAATTTACATACACTCTTTTTATTTTACAGTGTATATGGAAATGCTCATTTTATGTGGTTTTTGTTAAATGAAAAATAGTTTAAAAGAAAAAAGTTACTTGATTCAATTTTTTTTTGGCTTATGTTTTAATGTTTCTTTTATTCATAGGAGACTACTCAAATCTGTGGTATATACATTTAAGAAATGGATTGGGACCAACTAGAATTGAATCCTAAAGTTATCACTGCTATTAAGAAAGGTAATTTTAGGTGCATTATAAGTGTAAAAAGAAAGTTTTTAACAATTGGTGTAAGAATGAGTTTGTATTCCAATTGTCTTTTTAAATTACTAATTAAAATCTGCAAAAAGAATTTTTGTTTTGACAATTATTTTGATTCCCCTTGCTGTATTTGTGCTCCTCGTTTCAGCCAAACTAAAATCAATAAAGGAAGTTTTGCACCTTTCTGGACCAGATTTGCAGAGACTAACAAAATTGTCCAGCATTGATGTCCAGCATTTATTGAAAACGGTCTCTTTAGCACTAAGGAACAACTGTGTTCTGACAGGTAACAACAGAATGGCAAAATGTTGCTTGGTACCTTTTTTTTTTTTGAGGAGATAAATTGCATAAAAGTTGATTAATACCAGTTTGAATCCTGGGATGGCCACTGACCAGAAGTTGTTGATCAAAGTCATTCTGTCATAAATAAAGTAGAGTCTTCCTTCATGTTTCAAAATCTATATAATTGTCATGTATCAGAGAAGAAGAATGTTGATGTTAATGCTGAGGCTGGTAGGTAGTATAGTAGGTAGAGGGCTAGAGCTGGAGTCAGTAAGAACTGAGTTCAAATCAAGCCCAGGACATTCATAGTTCTATGACCCTAGGTGAATAATGTATTCTCTGGCTGTCTCAATTTCTTCATCTATAAAATGGGGATGATAGTAACTACTCTCCAGGGTTGTTGTGAGGATAAAAATCAGATAATAATTTTAAAGCATTTGCAAACCTTAAAGCACTATACATGTTAGCTATTGTCATTGTCATGTAATTTTTCTTTAACTTTAATTTGATTCTTTTTGGTTACATTTTAAGTTCCAAGCTGCCTCCCACCCCACAATTAGAGAAGGTCACCATTTGACATACGCACACACACACACACACACACACAACGCGCACATGCGCACTATGCATACTTGTGCCTATCACTTCTTTCTCTGGAGATAGATAGCATCTTTCTTCATAGGTCCTTTGTAGTAGATTTGAGAATTTATAATATTCAGAATAACTTAGTAGTTCAGTTATTCTTTGAACATTATTGCTGTTACTGTATATAACGTTTTCTTGGTTCTGCTCATTTCAGTCTTCATTATTTCATAATAATGTTTTTCTAAAATCAACCAGCTCATCATTTCTTACAGCACAGTAGTATTTTATCACAGTCATATACCACAGCCTGTTTAGCCATTCACCAATTGGTGGGCATACCCTCAATTTCCAGTTCTTTCCCACCACAAAAAATGCTGCTATAAATATTTTAGAACATATAGCTTCTTTTCCTTTTTTTCTTATCACCTTGAGAAACAGACCTAATAGTGCTATTGTTGGGTCAAAGAGTATACACAATTTTATAACTCTTTCGGTATAATTACAGATTGCTCTCCAAAATGGTTAGATCAGTTCATGGCTGTACCAACAGTGTATTGGTGTCCCAATTTTTCCGTATCCCCTCCAACATTTGTCATTTTCCCTTTCTGTCATTTTAGCCAATCTGATAGGTGTGAGATGATATCTTAAAGTTAAGTTCTCTGTGTATTTGAAATATGAGACCTTTATCCAAAAAACTGTCTATAAAAATTTTCCCTCAGTATTCTACTTTCCTTCTAATCTTGGCTATATTGGTTTTATTTGTATAAAAACTTTTAAATTTAATGTAATTAAAATTATCCATTTTACATCTCACAATGCTCTCTATCTCCTTTATTCATAAATTCTTCTCCTCTTCATAAGTCTAATAGGTAATATGTTCCATGTTCTTGTAATTTGCATGTGATATCTCCATTTGTATCTAGATCATGTATCCATTTGGACTTTTTCTTGGTAAATGGTATAAGATATTGGTCTATACCCAATTTCTACCAAACTGCTTTCCAGTTTTCCCAACATTGTTTGGTGTTTTTTTTTAACAAATAATGAATTCTTATCCCAAAAGCTTAATTCTTTACACTTGTCAAATGCAAGGTTGCTATTATTACTGCATATTGTATGTCTACTCTGTTCCACTGATCTACCTTTCTTTTTCTTAGCCAGTACGAGATAGTTTTGATAATTATATTGTTTAAGATTTGGCACTGCTAAACCTCCTTCTTTCACATTTTTTTCATTAATTCCTTTCATATTCTTAACCTTTGTTCTTCCAAAAGAATTTTATTATTTTTTTCTAGCTCAATAAAATAGTTTTTTGGTAATTTAATTGGAATGGCATTGAAGAAATAGATTAGTAGAATTGTCATTTTTATTATATTGGCTCTACCCACCCATCAACAATTAATATTTCTGCAGTTACTTAAATCTGACTTTATTTGTATAAAAAAAGTGTTTTGCAATTCCTTGGTTTGTCTTGGCAGGTATACTCCCAAGTATTTTATGCTGTCTGTAGTTATTTTAAATAGGGCATCTCTTGCTATCTCTTCTTTCAGGGTTTTGTTGGTAATATATAGAAATGCTGATGATTTATGTGAGTTTATTTTATATATGGCTACTTTGCTAAAAATTATTGTTTCAATTAGCTTTTTAATTGAATCTCTAGGATTTTCAAAATATATCATCTATATCATCTGCAAAAAGAGATAGTTTTATTACCTCGTTGCCCATTCTGATTGCTTCTATTTCCCTTTTTTCTTTTATTGTTATTGCTAGCATTTCTAATACAAGATTGAGTAAAGTTGGTGATAATGGGCATTCTTGTTTCACTTCTGATCTTATTGGGAAGGCTTCTAGCTTATCCTCATTACAGATGTTACTTACTGATGGTTTTAAGTAGACACATTATTATTTTAAGGAAAAATCCATTTATACTTTTCTTTCAAGTATTTTTAATAGGAATGCGTATTTAATTTTGTCAGAAACCTTTTCTGCATCTGTTAATATAATTATATGATTGTTGTTGCTTATATTATTGATAAAATCAATTATGTTAATAGTTTTCCTTATGTTAAACCATCCCTGTATTCCTGGTAGAAATCCCACTTAGTCACAGTGTACAATCTTTATGATATATTGTAGTCTCCTAGTAGTATTTTATTTAGGGTTTTTGCAATGATATTCATCAGTGAAATTAGTCTATGATTTTCTTTCTCTGTTTTTGCTCTTCCAGGTTTAGGTATCAACACCATATTTATTTCATAAAAGAAATTTTGCAGGACTCCTTCTTTGCCTGTTATTCTAAATGATTTATTTAATATTGGAAATATTTGATCTTTAAATGTTTGGTAGAATTTGTGAATCCATCTGGTCCTGATGCTTTTTTCCTAGAAAATTCATTTATGGCCTGCTCAATTTTTATTTTCTAAAATAGATTTATTTAAATATTCTATTTCTTTTTCTGTTAATCTGGGCAGTTTATATTTTTGTCAATGTTCATCCATTTTACTTAGATTGTTAAATTTTTTGGCATATAATTGGGCAAAATAACTCCTAATAATTACTTTAATCTTCGTTAGTGGCATATTCACCCTTTTCATTTTTGGTAGTGGAATTTGATTTTCTTCTCTCTTTTTTAGTCATATTAACCAATGGTGTATCTATTGTTTTTTTCATAAAACAAACCATTGGTTTTATTTATTAATTCAGTGGCTTTTTTATATTCAATTTATTAATCTCATCTTTAACTTTTAGGTTTTTGAATTTGACATTTAGTTGGGGACTTTTTATTTGTTCTTTTTCTAGTTTTTTAAAATTCCACATCCAAATCATTGGTCTGCTCTTTCTCTATTTTATTGATGTAATTATTTAGAGATGTAAATTTTCTCCTAAATACTGCTTTGGCTGCATCATAGATTTTGGCATATTGTCTCATTATGATTATTTTCTTTAATAAAATTATTTATTGTAACCATGACTTGTTCTTTAACCCATTCATTCTTTACAATTAGGTTATTTGTCTCTACTTAATTTTTAATCTGTGTTTTCATAGCCATTTGTTAAATATAATTTTAATTGCATTATGACCTGAAAAGGACGCATTTAATATTTCTGCTTTTCTTCATGTAACTATAAAGTTTTTGTGCTCTAATATGTAGTCATTTTTTCTAAAGGTATTATGTATCTTTGAGAAAACAGTATATTCCTTTCTATTCCCATTCAGTCCTTTCTGATATCTATCATAGCTAGTTTATCTAAGATTCTATTCATCTCCTTGACTTCTTTCTTATTTATTTTTTGGTTAGATTTGTCTAGATCTGAGAGGGGAAGGTGGAAGTCCCCCACTGTTATGTTTTTGCTATCTATTTGCACCTATTATTCGCTTAGCTTTTCCTTTAAAAATTTGGATACTATATAGCATTTGGTGCATATAAGTTTAGTATTGATATTCATTATTTATGGTACCTTTATCATAATGTAGTTTCCCTGTTTATCTCTTTTAATTAAATGTTCCAGCTTTAATTTTGTGTGAGATCATGATTGTTACCCCTGCTATTTTTGCATCAGCTGAAGCATAGTAAATTCTGCTCCAGCCCTTTATTTTTACTCTATGTGTCTCTCTCACTTTAAAATGTCTTTCTTATAAACAACATATTGTCAGGTTCTGATTTTTAATCCATTCTGCTATCCATTTCCGTTTTACAAGTGAGTTCATCCCATTCGTATTTAAAATTATAATTACTAGTAATGAATTTCCTTCCATCTTACTCTTCCTCTCTGTTTATCCTTCTCTCTTCTTTTTATCCTACCCCTTCTCAGACATTTAATTTACTTCTAGCCACTGTCTCCCTAATTTGGACTCCTTTTAAGAATCCCTCTCTTGTCCTATCTCTTCACCCTCCTGTTTCTGTGTAAATTAAGAATACTCGTATACCCTTCAAGATATTATTCCCTCTTTAATCCAGTTCTGATGAGAATAAGGTTCTAGCACCACCAGACTTCTGTAATAGTTCTCCCATACGTGCCTCATTTAATGAAATAATTGCTCCATTTTACCACTCTCACCAGATTTTATTTTTTAAGATCATCCCATCATATTCAACATTAAAACTTCTATCTTTGTATGTTCTTTCAAACTACCCTAGTTATAATAACATTCATTAGTTAAAGATGTTTTCCCACATAAGAAATTAAACAGTTTAACCTTAATAAGGTCAATAATAATAATCCCTTATTATTGGTCTTTCATGTTTACCTTTTTATGTTTCTCCTGATTCTTGTAAGTCAGATTTTCCATTCAGTTCTGGTCTTTTCCTCACAAATACCTGAAAGTCCTTTAATTCATTAAATATCCATTTTTTTCCATGCTGTGTTAACACTCAACTTTGCTGGGTAAATTATTCTTGGTTGCAAGCCTAGCTTCTT